CAAATATCGGAGTAATCCCGTAACATATACACAAAAAAATACAGTCCAATTGAAAAACTCCTTTTTTTTGAAGTCGGTTAAAATAACTAATTTGGAGCGGGTAGAAAATTTGACTTCGGTCATTAGGAGAAAACCGTTATATGAGTTCATGTGAGTAGTAGTCTATTTGCAGTAGAGCTCCTCGTTAATGAGTTAGTCCAGGGAAGTACTGCCACCTTACATATTTCTGCCGCCAAGCGTGTTAGCATTACTGCGTTCCGGGTTTGAAGGATATGGATGCTGGTGAAATTACAGGCACATGGGACTTTTGAATTTATGTCTGAGGGTGATGGGCGCAGGGAAAGTGCTCCTCAGATCTTTGTAATTTAAAGCTCCGAGTCACTGCAACTGCTATGAACAGACGTGTCGCTTAGCACCAGGCCTACGGCTTGTTCATCCCGTCACTTGGCATTATAAAAAAAGAGTAAGATTTTTTGTAAATGACTGCACTCTCTCTGCGATAAACGTCGACGATAAAGGATATCTTTTCGAAGCGTACAGATTAAATTTATTTAAAAGGAAGCTTATGTAATATTGCAATGGTTTATAAATCCTGTATGTATAAGCACTGACTTACAATTATATGGACGTCGGGTCCGCGCCAAAAAGTGTCCGAACTTATAGGGCGTTAAAATCGTATACAGAGCGTCATTCACGCTTTAGTCTTCGTTTGTTCGACTGACAGCGAAGCAAGCAAAATTAGACAGTACTGCGATGACATTACAATTTAAATTCAACGTTTTAGCTTTTTCATATTCCTTTACATGTCACTACGTTTAAATAGGTTGACTTGGGACATTTTTTTCGTGGTTTTTGTATTAGACCCGTCGTCCATTTATTTGTAAGTCAATGTGTATAAGTCAAAAATGTATAAAACTATATCGAGGAACTGAATGAATGATATCAGAATGAGCTCCGTAATCGACTGGCATGCACACGGGTTTCATGGTGTCGCCATCTGTTGGTTAATGTAGAAAATCAACTTTTCTATGTTGTCTCCGGTCTGGGTGTTTGTTGTTGTTTTCTGTTTCCATAATACAAGTGCTTTAGTTACTTACTTTGGGGTCGGAGCAACGTATGTGATGTTATCTAAAATTTATTTATTTATTTATCATGTCGAGTTTAGGTCTGTAAGCATGATCATTCGCTGTAAAACAGTTAAAACGATGCGTATGTCTGTATAAAAGTTAGCATTGTTATCAGACATTGGTATGTTCAGCACCACTGTTCCCGTGAAATAGGCTGGATAAATGCACAAGTAACAAATCAAAACTAAATTGTTTTTGATCTTTTTAATAAACTCACGTTTGCTATTATAAAACTTTTTGACGGTGATACTTTATGAAACGGTCGACGGGAGCTGCGCGGGCGCACCTGCCTGTCACGCTTCGCTGAGCCCACGCCTCGCACTCGTTTTGTCCGTAGGTACTAGCCACAGCCCAGTTTGTTTTAATTTTATAAAGTTTGCATGTGACAAATTATACGATAACGTCGTTAGAAAATCATACCCTTGGTATAAACAAAGCCACATGTGATCTAACTAAATCTGTTTAAGTTTTACGTCCTTCATATTATGATAAAAGTATTTTTATCAGAATATGAAAGTCGTACAATTGTAACCCTTTTATATAAAAAAAACGCCTCAAAAGTATCTGGAATTACATTTATTTGGCAAGTTTTATTGAGTTAAGTTAAGTTTTATTAGTTTCCGGTAATCAATATTACCGGAAAGTACACGAAATCGGATTCATCCCCTAGTTTGCCACCCTTAGTAGCGGAATGTCTTCTTCAAATTTACGCGAGATCAGTAGTAAGATACCCTCTTTCCAACAAAAAAGGAATCATCAACAACCGGTTTACAAACCAAATTATCAGAATCACAAATCAAAACAAGAGTTATCGGGTAACATACATAAAAAAAATATTGTCGAAATCACAACCTACACCTTTTTTAAACTTGGTTAAAAAATCATTTGAGCTACAAGAAAGAAATTTTGTACTTAAATCTTCTATTTGAGCATAAAAAAGTTATCGACTAATTTCGTACACAGAATCTTTAAAACTCTTTCCTGAAAAAGTTGTAATTTTCAGAACTGGTTTTATTACATTAAGCGTGCGAAATTTATACGCAGCATTATTCTTAAACTGGAAGCATGTGAAATCCTCTCTTAACTCTTTCATTGTTTACGATTTACGGTCACAGGTTACTATTGGTTATTCCCATAGTTAATCCCGTGTATTTTACTCACCAAGTATAACGTGGAATTGAACCAAGGACCGCCGCGGATCTTTAAAACGATTATTATTTTCAAAGCCCCAGACGTAAACTCAATGCCAAATTTCTGTACCAGCGAAGTGATCGTTGTGATTGACCGAGCAATGAATAATATAATATAATAAACCTCTAGTAAACTCTAACAATTATATACCGATTACTTATTTATTTATTAAGTACTGGCTGTACCTGTTGCTGCTGTATGCTGAACCATCAGCATAAAAAGATGACGAACAATTAAATAACATCGTGAGATGTCACAGAGTACTAAAAAACGACCTCAAAAGTTCGTGATATAACATCTATTTGACAAGTTTTATTGAAATCGGTTATCGGAAAGTGCGCGAAACCAGACTCACCCCCTAGTTTTGCCACCTTTAGAGTTGGAATATTGTCTTCAAATTTAAATTGTACCAATACTGAGGTACCCACAAACTGAGTATTCGTGTAACGTACATGCAAAAAATACAGTCGAATTGGAAACCGCCTCCTTTTTGAAGTCGGTTAATAAAATAATTCGTGACAACCTTGAATTCCGAATGATGGTAACTTTTCAAATCCACATATAAAGCAAACACTGAAATGAGAGACATTGTTTTATATAGCCCTAATTCTTTAATAATAAAGTCGTGCTATTTTAAAAATTGTGACAAATCTCAGAAATCTCAATTACAAGCATATGGCTCTGAAATCTTAGCTATAGCCAATGCACAATAAATATACAATTATTTATTATTTTATTTATTCATTTATTTAATGAATTTTTTCATCAGATGCCAAGGAGGTCAAAAGCCTTTTTTCTTTTTTTTTTTATAAAAAAATGGAATTCCAATGTTATCTTTAGACAAGTATTTTTTAAATAAGATTTTTGACTTGGATAGTCCCTTGAGTCCGGACTTCTATTTAATTATCGAGATTCAAATAAATATTCAAGTCAAAATTAATAGAGCCATTCCAAGAACTAATTTTTTTAGTAAATTACTACAAACATTTATTGTATACACTATGAAGTTTTTAAATAACACAATAATTGCCCAATTTCAAGTCAGTTCCACAGTATTATCATACGACAAAAGAAAGTAACAAAATTAATGCACATAAAGCAAAAGCGTAAAAAACCGACTACGATAGACTTACTACAGAACTCATCTAGAGGTTTCAATACTTAGGTAAAAAACGTGTTAAAAATGTTGCTCCGGAGCCAGCGTGATGAATCGAACATCGGCCCTTAGAAAGAGTTCAACGCAGTACATACACATATAAACGCACACACACAAATGAGAACCTAATATCATTTGATTAGTTTTACTGTTTATATTATGTTCTAAATATATAGATTCATCATCATTACATGGGAAAAAAACAGAACTTTTTAATTATTGTAGCCAACATAGATTATAATGGAGGTAATCAAATTCAAAATAAACTTACCGTAATAAAACAAATTAATAAATAAGAGTTTTTCCTTTAGACATAGAAACCAGATTGAAACTAAAAACGTGAAATAACAAAATGCTTGGATACATCATTAACTCTTGGATAGGGCACTAAAATTATTGACCATGTGTAGAAGTATTTAATAATAATGTAATAATACAGATCTTAGTAATCTATGTATTCCGCTTTCGTTGTATATGAGTAATTTACTATTACGGTTAATAGAGTTTATAAAACAACAGCAATAGTATATAAGTAAGATAGTAATTTGTGTTCTTCTGATTTACTTACTTCATTTACGATTTGTCACATATATTTGCCGTTACGTACGCATAAGTAGCGGCAGTAACGTTAATCAAGATAAGTGGACGTATTGTAATGACAAAGGAGCATAATAGTCGCCCGTTTGTACCTTACTCAAACTACTACTACTCTCTTTCAAAGGTTTATCTCGAGACCGTATCCCGTACAATAGTGGGATTACAGCCACTTTCAAGCGGCTACCGAAGCACAATGTAGTAATTTTCTAAGCATTCCTCGGCCTTCAAAACTCAACGCCTTGTCGAAACTCCATTGCCTTCAAAAATCACAATCACTGTAGTTTCTAAAGCGTTAAACTTAATACAAGATTTGACGAGTCGGTTCAAGGACCTTTCCATGGAGAACAAGATTGAGAAATTCCAGCTATTGACTAGGTGTAATAAAACGTCATAGAGCAGTTGACTCTACCGCGCCGACGATATGCAAGTTATGTAATAAACCTCGTGAATGAGCTCAAATATTATCACGGAAATGAACTTCAGCAGTAAAATGTACGTCGTCGTGAATTTAAATCTGACTGCACCGACATAAAACTCTGCATAAAACAGCACAGCTTCAGTCTTAATTGAAGACTTTCTTCAAGCCTCCAGCGACTTCATCGCCCGGTTGGACATAGTAGCATGGGCTGAACGATACGCTACCACGAGTCGATGGCAACGATCACGTAGGAATCCATTTCGCCTCGAGAAGTATCCGGTTTCAGTCTGGCACAACGAGTGCTCATATTGCGTTTAGTATTTATTTATGTATCGTTAGACGCAGGTTCTATCGGCGGCGGCGGCGGCGCCGCGGGCGGTGCGCGGCCCAGGGGGGCATACTTACTACGTGATTAATCCTCCCCCCGGCCCGCGAGGCGAGTGCGGTCGCGGGCGGCCGGGCGCGCCGTACTCGCGCCGGGTTTCCTCGTCCCCGCGCCTCACGGCCACTCACTACGCACGGGGCTCCGCGTAGTGCCGCTGCCAGTCGCGCTGCGACCCGCGCTGCCGTCGCACTCCGCCCGCGCGCGCCCACCTCGTTGTGCCGTGATATCATTCATGCTAATCTCCGCCTGTCGATTTTCCTGCCGAGTGACCCGACCGCAGTGAAACTAGCGCGCGATACCGCGAGTGCCGAATGTTCTTGGACGTCATACCGTGTACTTTTCCATCGGAATCTGAGCGTATCAAACCAGTTCGGAGTGCTCAACAACGGCACCTTCCTTCGGATGAGACCTCCGGTCGGCAAGCGCTGCTTTGACCCGCGGCCTGCAATGCTGCGCCCGTGACCGTCTCACTACAGTGCCACGAAACGTAAGGATTTGTTCGTTCATTCGGCTCGCGTGTATGGGCCGCCTTCCTATTTGCATGGCGCATACGAGTGGTTTTTATTTTCGTCTAAGCGGGCGTGTGTGCGTGGGGCGCGGGTGTGTGCGGCGCCGGGCGCGCTTGTGTGTGCCAGCCGCCGCGTCCACCGAGACGGCTACTCCCTGCTGGCCCGCTTTATTTAGGTTGTTTCTGAGCGTGCCGGCAGGCAGCTCCGCCTGGCGCCCCCGCTGCCACCGCCTCACTCCCTCTCTATCGCTACCTGTCTTGTGTTGCTCTGAAGTATGTAAACAGATATATATATGTACATATAATATTACTGGTTATGGTATATATGGTATACCATTGCACAGAATAATAGGAAATTAATACTTACCGTCAATCCAAACACTTTATAGCCGTAAGAGCCGTGTGTCGCTGTTACTGATACGGCATGGTACTTACGTACCCACAAGTTGAAGGTCGAATGAACTAAGAATATTTTTCAAATAAAAAGTCGTAAGCTGTGTTTTTCAGTTCGTTTCAGTAATAATTATAGCATGAGCGCGTTTCACACTACTCAAGTAAACTGTGAATGTAGCGCCAGTGCTAGAGCCGTCGGGGACCACAGTATTATGTTATTAGCGCATTGTTGGCATTACGTAGTAGTCTTTCATTTATCTGACACTTCTATCACAACAATCACGTAAGTCATGGTTGACAATTTGCAAAGATATGAACGTTAGTTACACGATCTTTAGTAACTATATCCCATATTTAAATGAACAATATTCCGACATAACCTCCACAAAAATTTCAGCATACTATAGGCTACTATACATACGGACAAATCCTGCATTAATTACGGATATAATTCTCATAAGTGGATTTTTTAAATATTATTATGTGATGGGACGAACTTTATGTGATTGAGAATAGATAGAAAAAGATAGAGTGTGGAGAAAAATGCTGTAATTACATATAATTAGTAATACAAATACGATGTTGGTACATAGATGTAAAATTTGTACCTAAAGTCGCAGGCCGTTACGATAAACTGATGACCTTTCGTGTACACCCAGTAGTAAAAGCTTTGTAGGTTCTATCAAAGATTGAAAGCCGAAACTTGGTACACAATGTGTTCGCTTCTATGCGAAAGAACGTTACGAATATAAATTTTATATAATACATAGCCGTCTAGAACTATGGCATAGTTTACTAACAATGGAAATAGACGAAACTCTACCATGTAGTTGCCTACTAAGTAAGGATATAATTCACGCTATTGTTTGCCCAATTAATGTATAGATAATTGTAAAGAATTAGTTATAAAGCGGAATGCAGGTAGGAAGTTACAAAAAACAAGAAATGTGTGGAAACAATAATTCAATTGAGGTATTGTTAATGAATTATTAATAGTACTAAACAATAATAGCCTGCAATAAATTGACGCCCAAAAGTTAAATGTCACTAGGCAATTATTCCGCCTAATTTCAAAGTAAAACGACATTTTTATAAGTTCCTTTAAAATAAATGGGAAATAACCGTCGAATTAGCACAATTGCTCTCTTTTGGTACTCTTTTGATTCGATACTCGGTGTATACATGGTATAGTAGGACTATTTTTAACTTAACCTATATTCTTACATTTATACGTGACATGTACGCAGCATAGCATTCTTATCTGTGGCCATAGGTCAAACGAACGCATGGTTCCTTTACAAATATCGCCACCACATATTCTTTTTTGACTTTTGCAAAGTCCGAGTAAGGAGAAGCCGGTGTACAAAACTTTGGATTTATAATAATTATAGGACTGCGTTGTAACTTTATTGTAATTCGCACACAAGCGTGATGACTGAAATGATAGCGTATTCAATCATTATATTTGCTAGATCGAACATTGGGTATCAAATTAACCTGATTTAATATAATGTACTGAAGTGGTATGGCAAATTATATGTAAGCCTCCCCATTGTTTATACGACAACGGCTAGCAATAAGGAAACAGCAACATATGGGCTTCAGATAAGCGAATAGGCAAAAATTATTGACCAACCTTTAACTTATAATTAATTAAAGAGAGAAAATGATTACGTTGTCTAGATGAATTAATAACTGTTTTCTTTCCGCGTGTTCAGGCTAATTGAGGGTAATGATTGAGATAAAACAAAAAGAAAACAAGTGACGTTAAAGCAGGGAATAGTGGTATAAAAAGGAAAGATTACATGTTATCATTACATGAATAAGTTAATAAGCGATCATAGTTATCCCTTGACATTGTATTTCCAATTGTAATATTGTGACATTGATAACATGAAATAAACGATTATATTCTATTCTATTCTATTTTATAAACAAGCAATAGATGTAGCGAATCGTAGCAGTCGATACAAATATCTTTTGTATATATTTTATATAGTAGATTTTTTAAGTTGAATTTTTTATTTAAATTCTAAATTTAAATGTAATTGTTTTTGGCTTAGATTCTAAATTTAAATGTGATTGTTTTGGCGCCTTCTCTTTACTATTGTTTCTCTTTTTGGATTGATAGGTGTACGAATAAATTAATAAATTGCAAGTGCATTTACTTTGGTCTTGCTCACTCTTTGTTAGCACCCACCCGAACCCATTGATACAGTCCGCTACAATATCAATGTAATAAAATTACAAGTTAACATAGAAAACTTTCAGATGTAGAGTGACCCCTGTCCGTTTCATGATGTATAATGTTCCCCTTTTCGTACGGTAAATGTGCCTTTGCATACCTTCGCGTCTAGCTACATGTTAATCTGGTGTAACTAATTAGAACAAAAAATAATCATAAATAAATCAACATAGTGACGAAATTCAAGTGTACCTTTTTTAATAAGTCAGGGACATTTGCATTGTCCACGCTTCTTTTGGTATCTCGTCTGAATAACAGGTTACCAGCATCGGACATCTTGTTTTCATGTTGTTTTCTTGTAAATAATTCGTCCGGAAATTATCATTCCATTAACAATGTCACAGTTGTGGCTTTAAATTGAGGATATGTATAAAATGAAGTGCGTTACTCATAAAAGCTGCTTTAATGAGTATTCTGCGATTCTTAATATACTATTTCCAAAATCAAAGTTTACTCTAACTTGGGCCATCTTCTACGGCTTTGGTATTGTTTGTGATAACAACGTGAAATGTTGTTTACGGTAAATTAATAGATCCTAGCATTATATATAATTATAATATGTCCATACGAATATTTTACACTTTATTGCATATACGAACAAAAACGTTTAAAAACCGGTTAAAGCGCAATGATGCCCTTCATCAATAAAAATATTTTCATATTGACTTTTTATAATTTCACAATTTTTTTACAAATGTTATATTAATAATAATTTTTTTTTTGTAAAATAACTCCATTAGTTTGTTACCATTAATACAAAGATCGGACACAAATAAAAACTCGTTTTTTATGACAGAATTTGTTTTTTATGACACCAAGTGACGGAACGATTAAATGGAACCTGTGTCCACGCCGTACCGTGGTGTTGCTTTATATTATTATGGTCTATGTAATTTTGTTAAATATGTCGCACTGCTATTACAATAGAGTTGTAACACAAAATTTGTGAAATTCAAGATTATACTATTATTGAACGTAAAATTAGATTCTCTATACGTCAATATAACTTTCGTTAGAATATTGTAAACAACAATTAAAAGATATCTACTTAATTCAAAATGAAACAAACTTTACGTGAGCTAGTTCTGGCCATACAGTCCTTACTCAAAAATATGAAATTCTTTTTTCCTTTTTATTTTTAAATGTATTTGGCAAGTAGGAAATTGTTTAGATGCATTTAAATACATTTTAACCGATACATACATTTTAATGATCTTTCACGGGAAGTGAGTTATTCGTTTTTCACCGATTCTGAAAAATATACTTTTTGAGTTAATACACTATTGTATTAACAGTGCTATGTATTTTTTTGTTACATTTTCCTTTCTACACTTAGCAGAGAGTTAGGAATTAATTCTACAAAGGCTACATAATTGCCATGCTAAATGAAATAATTGTAAAGTTATCTATATAATATCTGTTAGTACAACGCGGATGACCTGTACATTAGTTTATCTAGACGTCAGACCTAGATTCGTCTGTCCAGATTAAATGTATTGATCGTTGGTATAATTGGCTAAGTGTGGCTGCGACTATTCTATTTTTATCATGTAACCAGAGGCTCCCAACATTTCGCCAATAAAAATAATGTGTAATGTAACTTGGATGTTCTAACTTTAAAGGACTAATAAGCACCATAATAGCCAATTTACTTAATAAAGCAAAATAACCCTTTTTTATTATAACATACTGTTCTTAATTAAAAACTAAACTTAAGCATGTATGAAAAGTTGAAAAAGTAAAATAGCGTCTATGTTGAGAGTTTCTGACAGGCAAATATAAATTAAATAAACTGTGACCAGATAACAAGCGGCAGTTAAAAAAAAACAAAGAGACCTATCACGTGTTGTGTCATAAATAGAATTAGTCAGATATAGCCGGTGTATGTGTGGCGAAGTATGCAATTGTCTGTGTTATCTACAGCTACCGCCTACGTAGCGATAACTTCTATCACCTGCATTAGCCACTACATCATATTATAATACACACCTTTATTATAGTTGCTCGCATCACAGACCAGTTTTCATAAAAAAATAAAATTGTGATTTCTACTAAACACTATGATACAGGCAAACATATTATGGTTTAATTTATGACGCAGTTCAAGTTATACATATGTTGAAGTTTATTATAAATTATTTTTCTTACAAAAATTTTTTTTTTAAAGTCGATTAAATATATATAATATATATACATTAATATAATAATATATATACAATAAATAATTCAAGGCCTTTGTCAGCATTATGCTCCAGCACTAACATTTAAATACTGAGATTCAGAAACAAATGTACAAAAACTATAGTTGAAAAAGAATTGTAACATGCCACCTTAAGTGCAT